TTTTTTTCAAATATCTATCTATTTTAATTTCATGTGGGTGGTCACTGATTCTTAATTTTGTTAGTGACTTCCCATGTTCTCTATTACCGATGAGGAGAAAGGGTTCAAATGCGAAGTTATTTTTAGCTCACCTGGCCCAAAGGGCCAAGTGAGCTTTTCTCATCACTTGGCGTCCGTCGTCCGTCGTCGTCGTCGTCCGTCGTCGTTAACTTTTACAAAAATCTTCTCCTCTGAAACTTCTTGGCCAAATTTAACCAAACTTGGCCACAATCATCATTGGGGTATCTAGTTTAAAAAATGTGTCCGGTGATCCGGCCAACCAACCAAGATGGCCGCCATGGCTAAAAATAGAACATAGGGGTAAAATGTAGATTTTGGCTTATATCTCTGAAACCAAAGCATTTAGAGCAAATCTAACAGGGATAAAATTGTTTATCAGGTCAAGATCTATCTGCCCTGAAATTTTCAGATGAATCAGACAACCCGTTGTTGGGTTGCTGCCCCTGAATTGGTAATTTTAAGGAAATTTTGCTGTTTTTGGTTATTATCTTGAATATTATTATAGATAGAGATAAACTGTAAACAGCAATAATGTTCAACAAAGTAAGATCTACAAATAAGTCAACATGACCAAAATGGTCAGTTGATCTCTTTAGGAGTTATTGCCCTTTATAGTCAATTTTTAACCATTTTTCGTAAATTTTTGTAATCTTTTACAAAAATCTTCTCCTCTGAAACTACTAAGACAAATTTAACCAAACTTGTCCACAATCATTATTAGGGTATCTAGTTTAAAAAATGTGTCGGATGACCCCGCCCGCGAACCAAGATGGCCGACATGGCTAAAAAATAGTACATAGAGTAAAATGCAGTTTTTGGCTCATATCTCTAAAACCAAAGCATTTAGAGCAAATCTGATGAGGATAAAATTGTTCATTAGGTCAAGATCTATCTGCCCTGAAATTTTCAGACCAATTAGGCAACACGTTGTTGGGTTGCTGCCCCTGAATTGGTAATTTTAAGAAAATTTTGCAGCTTTCGGTTATTATCTTGAATATTATTATAGATAGAGATAAACTGTAAACAGCAATAATGTTCAGCAAAGTAAGATCTACAAATAACTCTACATGACCAAAATAGTCAGTTGACCTCTTTAGGAGTTATTGCCCTTTATAGTCAATTTTTAACCATTTTTCGTAAATTTTTGTAATCTTTTACAAAAATCTTCTCCTCTGAAACTACTAAGACAAATTTAACCAAACTTGTCCACAATCATTATTAGGGTATCTAGTTTAAAAAATGTGTCGGATGACCCCGCCCGCGAACCAAGATGGCCGACATGGCTAAAAAATAGTACATAGAGTAAAATGCAGTTTTTGGCTCATATCTCTGAAACCAAAGCATTTAGAGCAAATCTGATGAGGATAAAATTGTTCATTAGGTCAAGATCTATCTGCCCTGAAATTTTCAGACCAATTAGGCAACACGTTGTTGGGTTGCTGCCCCTGAATTGGTAATTTTAAGAAAATTTTGCAGCTTTTGGTTATTATCTTGAATATTATTATAGATAGAGATAAACTGTAAACAGCAATAATGTACAGCAAAGTAAGATCTACAAATAAGTCAACATGACCAAAATTGTCAATTGACCCCTTAAGGAGTTATTGCCCTTTATAGTCAATTTTTTACAATTTTCATAAATTTTGTAAATTTTTGTAAATTTTTACAAAATATTTTCCACTGTAACTACTGGGCCAAGTTCATTATAGATAGAGATAATTGTAAGCAGCAAGAATGTTCAGTAAAGTAAGATCTACAAACACATCACCATCACCAAAACACAATTTTGTCATGAATCCATCTGTGTCCTTTGTTTAATATGCACATAGACCAAGGTGAGCGACACAGGCTCTTTAGAGCCTCTAGTTAAATGTTCTATTTGTTTCAAGAGTTCAAAGATTTTCCATAAGTTAACAAAAGAACGTATATTAATGTTTACTTAATGAATTATATGATTGATCTTAAACTTTTCGAAATTTTTAAATAGAAATTCCAAGCTTTCAGACTTAAATATTTAATTTACACATCCAACCCATGAGTGTTTGTTTTTTTTATGTCATCGTATTAGACATACCAAATGCTTCAAATAGCATAGAGTTGTTACTGTCAACAGTTTTAACTATATGACATCAATCATTATTTGACTAATTTTTTTTATTGAAACAGAGGTAGACTGATAGAAGGCTAATACAACTTAATTCTCAGTCCTCTACATCAGGGACAGTCTAGTTAGTATAGACTGTCCCTGTCTACACCCATCATTTGAGGATTTAAAATTTGTACACCTTATACAAGTTTATAAAATCATATGTGAAGTTTTTCAAACACAAGCGAATTAATCTATTTAGTCAGTGATGATTTTTCAGTCTACACTGATTCATGCATCATTGATTTACAAATTGACTCAGTTTGGGGAGATAGCCCCATATTTCAGAGCAATATAATGTAATTGGTTTTATTGTGTGGTTAAACATATGTAATATTATTTCATAGGTATGTCACGCAAAATATTAATACCAAACGAACTGATAAAGTATAAAAGTGATGTCCATGTATAAACCGTTTTACGTATAATACTCATGGCATAACCGGTAGCACTTCAGATTTTTTTTTTAATTTGTCTTTGGTATTTCCGGCAAATTTGATTGGTCAATGCTTACTTTCTCCTGTGGCTGTGCGCTAATTTTGAAATGTAAACAAGGACAGATTGTCTTTCATAATCGTCAGCCATTGGAAAGTTGCCTTCTCGATATTATTCAGCTGTTGCAGACGATTCTCTTAAGCATAACAAAATTTTATAGACGTACAGTAACTATCTGGATAACACAGGTTCGGAAATCGCTCGATTGGGCTAACTTAGTAACTAACTTAAATATCTAGATCTCCCTTTTATGTTTTTTTTTTTCAAAACAAATTATTAAAGTCTCAGCTGTAATCTTCTTCTTCTTTCGTTAATCAGCAACGGAAAAATACCATCACGCTGATGCTGTGTCATCAAGTGCAGGTGCTGTACAAGTTGTGATCATCAAAACCGAAAAAATAAATAAATATATACAAGTTTAAAATTGTGGTCGGTGCAGGGTAAAAACAAGGATGATCTTTACAGCATCACTGTGTCTCTGGTCTCAGGATGGAAGTGTGACCAGAGGTTTTCCTTGAAAGTATCCGAGTCGGTGTCAGATGTTTCCTGTCCTGGTAGATGGTTCCAGTCTCGGATTGTTCTCATGTAGAAGCTGAATTCGTATTCGGCGGTGTTGCATTGTGGCTGCATGATGCTGACTGTGTGGCTATGACGTGTTTTACTGTTGTTGACGAGGTAGTATTTGGGAATTTTGGTGGCTACTTGGTGGTACAGTATTTTCTGAAATAATATTAAGCGATTTGCTGTTCTTCTCGTTTCAAGGGTAGGCCAGTTCAAAGATTGTATAATTGCGGTCATAGAGCCAGGTTGGTAGTTGTAGTTCTTGGTTACAAATCTTGCCGCCCTGTGTTGTACCATTTCTATACATTTGATGTCCTTCTTTCAATAGGGGGCCCATATTGAGCTACTGTATTCCAGATGTGGTCTTACCAGAGCAATGTAAGCGTGTTGTTTAATTTCTTGAGGGCATCTATATAAATTTCTTCTTACAAAATTCAGTTGTTGTGAAGCTTTGTTAATTTTTGAGGTAATGTGATGGTTCCATTTGAGCTTGCTGTCTAGCTCCACCCCTAGGTATGAGTTAATATTATGTTTAAAATAGAAGTGCAGTCTTAATCTTTACACACATAATAAAGAAACATAGCTGATTATTTCCTTGCTCACAATTTTTTGTAAGAATTATTTTTTCATGGTAAAAGTTAATCCCTTTACTTTACAAAAAAACATGCTTTAGGGTCGGTCTTTTCACCACCGAACACTGCCGAACACCACCAAACACCCAAAAAACCCACGTACAAATGTACCCTTAAGAAAAACAGTAATGTCGCACAAAAAACAATAAAATCGATTAAATTACGTAAAATTTAACCCTTTTCTTGTGTTTTTCACATTTTTATGTGCAATTGTGATTTTAAAGTTTGAGAATCAAAATTAAAAAAAAAAACGCTTCCGGATCCAGCAATATTTTTTCCGGATTTACATTGTCTGTCTTCCATTGTATCATGTGTATATTATCTTATAGTCTTTTAAGTTTACTTTTCAATTATTAGAAATAAATTGTTCAAATAAGTTAAAACATTTTATTTAATGTGAAATTATCACAATAATTCTATTTAAAAAAATGCAAGACATAAAATTGTACTGTTCTGACAACAGCCCTGCAAGTCTTCTTTTTGGTGCTCTTGTTATCATTTCTTATTAATTTGTGTATATAATATGTATAAACATATTCATCAACGTTCAGAAGCTAAGTCAAATATATGAATAAAGATGAAAACAATAATTTAAGTGTGGTAGATGGTATTTTAATGTATTTGGTGGTGTTCTATGATTTTTTTCATTTTGGCCACCATACATGTATGCCCAAAATGTGCACCAGAATTAAGTTATCTTGTTTGGTAACCTCCATTGACAGAATGGTTACATGGGTTACACATATGTACACTTCTCCTCTGCAATGGATTACTATATACATGTATATATATATATATATATATATATATAGGTAAGTCTTTCTTTACTGCAATGTTAATCTGTTTTTCAAAAAAGTTTATCTGTTTTCTAATATCCCATTTCCTCCCACTACTGTTAATGCCACATTCACCTACTGCAAAAACCTTATTAGCATTCAACATCTATTTCAAATCTGAAATCCAATTGTTTAGGGTTGAACAGTATGAAATTGTCGACTTAACCGTTTGTTTGTTGTCTGTTTTCAGGATGAGACAATTGCAAGCCCATATTTATATTGTACCAGACTGATAGGGCAGAGCTGAATACAAATAGATGTACATAAAATTGACTTCTTCATCATTTGTTTGTTGTCTGTTTTCAGGATGAGGCAACCTAATATTTATATTGTACCAGACTGTGATAGGACAGAGCTAACTACAGATAGTTATAATTCTATATTGAACTATGTAAGGGACGAGACATGTTCTAAAGGTAATAATCTAATCACTGATTTTGTCTGACATCTAATTTATAAAATGTTAAATTATAGGATATTCCCGGATAAAATTCAAAATAGCATAGTCATGACATGCATGAATCATAATTATTTAACTATGGTTATTGAGAAAAAAGCATAAAAAATCCGAATATTTGCTGGGATAAACTTCATGAAGATGATTCTGGATTTTTCACATAAAATGTCGGGATAGACATGATCATGATGATAGAAAGGTACAAAAAAAAAATGTATGTATGTACATGTATATTAAATCATTAAAAAAAATATTTGTAACATATGTAAAATAAGGAGATGTGGTATGATTGCAAATGAGACAACAATCCACCAGAAAAAAAAGAAGTGGATGCAACTTAAGGTTACCGTTATTATAATCCTCACTGATCAGCCACACTCACACAGTATACATTTGTAGTAAGATATAAAAGGAACTGACATACATGCCAAAATGTAAACCATTCAAACAAGAAAAACCAAAGGCCTATGGTTTATGATAAACATCATGAAACAATAAACTACAAAAACAAATATGACAGACATCAACCAGCTCACTGTATTACAGGCTCCTGACATAGAACAGGCTCTTACAAAAGTTTACGGACTGTATAAACAACATCATGGTAAAAATTATGAAGTGATATTCTGTTATGATTTCTACGGTTATTTTCAAACCAAATCTTTGTATCTCTGAAAGGATTTAGTATAAGTTTTAAAAAATAAGGAGATGAGGTATGATTGCCAATGAGACAACTATCCACCAAAGTTCAAATAAAGTGGATGTAAGCAATTAAAGGCAATTTGTGGAAACAAAATTCCTGAAAGTTTTTTTTAAATATTTCATTTACTTATACAAATCCTTTTTGTAACAAAGCATATTGTATCAATTGTTGTACACCAATGGCTTTTCCTGCATTCAGAATGCATGTACACCTTTTAGCATTTTATGCCCTATGCGAATGAAAAGTTTCAGGGATAGCCCTTATTTTAATACAGTATTATCTGTATTAGTATTCTGTGTTATCATACATGTATCAACAGTATCTGATACTAATATTCTGTGTTATCATACATGTATCAACAGTATCTGATACTAATATTCTGTGTTATCATACATGTATCAACAGTATCTGATACTAATATTCTGTGTTATCATACATGTATCAACAATATCTGATACTAATATTCTGTGTTATCATACATGTATCAACAGTATCTGATACTAATATTCTGTGTTATCATACATGTATCAACAGTATCTGATACTAATATTCTGTGTTATCATACATGTATCAACAGTATCTCATACTAATATTCTGTGTTATCATACATGACATGTATCAACAGTATCTGATACTAATATTCTGTGTTATCATACATGTATCAACAGTATCTGATACTAATATTCTGTGTTATCATACATGTATCAACAGTATCTGATACTAATATTCTGTGTTATCATACATGTATCAACAGTATCTGATACTAATATTCTGTGTTATCATACATGTATCAACAGTATCTGATACTAATATTCTGTGTTATCATACATGTATCAACAGTATCTGATACTAATATTCTGTGTTATCATACATGTATCAACAGTATCTCATACTAATATTCTGTGTTATCATACATGACATGTATCAACAGTATCTGATACTAATATTCTGTGTTATCATACATGTATCAACAGTATCTCATACTAATATTCTGTGTTATCATACATGTATCAACAGTATCTGATACTAATATTCTGTGTTATCATACATGTATCAACAGTATCTCAGACTAATATTCTGTGTTATCATACATGTATCAACAGTATCTCATACTAAGAGTAGAGAATGGAAATGGGGAATGTGTCAGAGACAACAACTTGACCAAAGAGCACAAAACTGTCCAAGGCTCTTCAACTGAGTTTGTTTTTTATTCTGTCTGATCAGATAGAAACTTTTACCATATATAAAAATAAGAAGATGTGGTACCATTGCCAATGAGACAACTCTCCACAGGAGACCAAAAGACAGAGAAATTTTCAACTAAAGGTCATCATATGGCCTTCAACCATGCATGCAAATGTTAAACAATTTATGTACTCTCTTTAGTTGAAAACCAAAAACCCCTACATTTAATATGAGAAAAAACATTTATTTTGCTAATAATTTTTAGGGAAATAGGTCCTAAAAGGGGACATTGCAGAGATTATTCAAAAATTTAATCTAGTGAAACTTCTCTAAACCGGTCCCTTTGAATACCGGTTCTCCCCCATACAGGCCAAATCAAGAAGTCTGGGCCAATTTGCATTCAATTAAATGGTCATGTAACCTTATAAAACCGGCCACCCGTTTAAACATGATACCGGTTGGTATTTTTGTATTTAATCAAAATCAATAAAATTTAACCTCATAAAACCAGCCTTGTCATCTGAAATCACTAATCCGTACATATAATTTTTATGTAAACAAAAGATAATCCGGTCCATCAGGACACCTGCATGCTGACTGGTTACTGTTCACCTGTCAATTTTGTTTCAATACCCAATCTAATTGTTTTGACAGCTAAAATTTAATACACATGCTATTCAAAAGTTGTAATTTATTTTTAAACAGTGTTGGATGAAAATTTTAGTAGAACATTTTGATAATTTATTAATGAAATAGCATTGAATTATGGTATATTTATTTATTATTCCTGCAAAAATAAAATAAGATGAAATAGAGGTTGTACATGTAGCTGTATTTTATGATACATATAATATACAAAAATAAAATTCTTAAAGGAAAACATATATTTTGATTAAGGTAAAGTACATTTTCAAATATACTTAAACACACATATTAAAGGGAAGTTACTCTTGGTGATTCAATTTTCAACTAACCGGCCACCCCCGTAAACCAGCCGTTTTCAGTGGTCCGACATTAGGCCGGTTTTGAGGAGTTTCACTGTACTTAAACTGCACAATAATGAATTTTGTATTATATCTATTAATGTACATGTCTAAGGTAAAATTTGAACCCTTTACAAGAAGTAAAATAAAACTTGACAAAATCACTGGATATATTTATTTGAATTGATTACAGAACCTGTAATTATATGCTGTGATAAAATAAAAGATGAGCAACATTACACCTTACCAGAGTTTGTAATGACCATGTGTCGTAAACATGGGATCCTGAAGAATGATAGAGTAACACTATTGTCATCCATGGATCAGATGGTGGCTGTACAGCTTTGTTTGGCAGAGAAAAATAAACAGGTTTGTAAATCATTGAAGATTATAATATGGTGTAACATTATAAAGTTTTTTATCAACATGATCAATATATCAGTAAAACTAAGAAACTGAGAATGCTTGTCATACTAAGAAATTTTTTTATGCTTGATTTCATGCATTTTTTTATTTCGATAGCTTTTAATTTTTTTTAATAATATACAAAACACACACACTTTTCACCTTAAAATCTTCTTTTTTTTATCAAAATTCATTACATTTTGAAGCATACATCAAGATTTAAAATATCTGATGTTTTTGGAAGTTTGACTACAGAAAAGACATATGTATGAAGTCATTCTGGTATGTCAACTACTCACAGAATTTTCTATTTAACACAATATTTATCACAATAGAAATAAGTTTAAAAACTGTTGATAATTGGATATCGCTTACTTTTAACTTGTTATTTAAGTTAGATAGTAATAATAACCTCATCACATATTATATTGAAATTAAATAACTTGAATTGATGTCAAGCAATATCCAATTGCCACTACTTATGAAACCTATTAATATCTGGAATATATATGCATATAGTTCGGGTATAAGTAAATTAATTTTAAAACATTTTGACAATAAAATTTTCCATGTTTTAGTTTTTTGTTGAATTTTAAGAATCATTTTAAACATTGGGTAAGAGTAATCATTAGCACTTGCTCTAAAGGCTTGAGATTAATGTTTGTTAAAAATAACAGCGGAGGAGTTGCACAAAACAACAATTTACTAAACCACAAAGAATTATATAAATTTTTATTTCGGTTGGATTGATGGTGTTAAAGATATGTAAATATGTTTTCACATCTAAAAGATCCTGCTATTATTCATTTATTTATTTTTTATTAGCAAAAAAAGAAAAAAAAAAGGTTGACCTGTTTATTCCACTTTTTTGTCTCTCATTAAAAAAATAGGGCTTATTCCAAAAATAGTGTAAATATCAAAATATTTATCAAAAAACATACTGAAACATTCCTAGTGTATTGTTAAACCACTATTAAACAAAGGTCCAGAATTTTATTGGCAATCAAAATATTGACAATGTTGGAACATGAATATGATAAATTGTACCTTATTTTCAGGATATTGGCGACTATGATGTAGAATCCAGTACAGCAATACACCAGTGTAACAATCTGATCAAACAGAAATTATCAACATGTACACTAGATATAAAGTTAACACAGACAGTAGACGATTGGCTAGAACAGGCCTATACACAGTTCATTAGCAACTGTAACCAAGTAGACATGTGTGATATATTACAACTGTTAGTGTCAGGGTTTGACAAGAATGAAAGAATGAAAAATGATCTCCTGTCTACAGATTTTATTGTGCTGGGTCTTCCATCACATCAAATACAGGTACAGTTTAGTCTTGCCTGCATTAGATATGGCCGAATGTAAGACATAGTGCTGCTTCTTCACCATCCTGGAGAGGGCACAAACTTTTTGTATAAAACTATATTTCAAAATATAGAAGCCTAAGATCCATTTACTTTTTATGTATTATGTAAACAAATTTCTTATGTTTTGTTATTTCTGTTGACATAAATCATTTTCATGCTCACAGACTGCTTAAAAACAAACTGTACAATTGTTTATCAGGTGGTTCTTTTCTGAAAGTTATAATGGGTGTTAGGACAATTATATTTGGTAAATTATGTATATAGAAACATTGCAAGGCCTACATGTCAATCCGACAGATTTTATCCTACCTCATTTGTTAGATCAGTGACAAAAGTTAGGTTTTTTTGTAGTAACGTCTGTTTCTCAGATATTATAAGCAATATGACAACTCTGTTTGGTGTATTTTCAAATATACCACTATCATTGAATATGATTACACTTTTCTGAACTGTTAATAAGGTCATATTGTAAATAAAATGTTGCTACAGCATATTTTGTGTGTTTTACATTAAAGTATGCATTCATTCAGTCAAGTGGTCACTGTACAGCCTCAACAATGAGCAAAACATATGGACTGGTATTGTAAGCTATTTTAAATATGACTGCATATGAAGTGTGAAGTGCTTTTATTTTGCATTCTTCGTCTCCTTTTGTAAATACATACATGTAGTATATTTACTCTATTTCAGAAATATATGCTGAAGTTTTTGTGCAATGGAAGAACTATAAATAAGATAACAATGGAGACATCTTTAGAAAATAACAGTAATATAAGAGTTTTGTCTGTGTCATCATCATTAGACGAGATACAACTCAATTCATCTCAGGAATTCACTGCCAGTAGAAATGCTTCTTTAACAGAGGTAAGATACAGCTTAATACTACTCAGTACACAATGAGGGATAAAAAATTTCTCAGAATAATCTCTATATGGGGAATCACTGGAATGAGAGATTCCTTATCACTTGTTTCAAGGATCAATTCAATAATTGCTGGAAACTGTGTATTAATTTTCATCTAGTTATGTATAAAAGTTTTCATATGTATTTCCAAAGTACTATTGAAAACAAATAGTTTTGGTTTTATTTAAAAATAAAAATCAAGTATGATGATCATGATTATATAAATGCTCTTTCCCAAGTTTTTTTTCACATTTCACAGGAATCACATTGTTAGTCTGTCTATCTGTTACTCTTACAAACTCTTACTAAACAGCTTGATTGGTATTGATGAAACTTGGCACAATTGTAGAACACAACCTGAGAATATGCATGATGAACTGTAATCCAGGTCCTACATGTCAAAGGGGAGATAATCAATCTTTTTTGCTTCTATTTTTCAATACGTGGTAATTGTCTGTTGTAAGTGCATCTTATCATAAATGGCTGTACAGATATTTGAAACTTAACACTACCTGTGAATTTGGATAATGAAATAAAAATACAGTTCAACATACTAAAGGGGAGATAATCCAATTTTGCATGGCAGAGGTATTGTTTTTGTAAGTTCACTCCCAGCTCTAATTTTAATCACCTGTCTGAGGGATGTCTGGATGTGAGATGCAACAAGTAATGGGAGAAAGAATTAATGAAGTTCTGTTTTAATTTTGTATATTTATATATATATCTTTTTACAGTCGTATGTGAGGATGGTTCTCCAGTCTTATTTAGAATTATTGGTGAACACTAGATCTGAGTTAGCTCTAGCTCGAGTTCTGAATGTCCCTAACAGAGAACTTACACATGAAGCATTTACAGAGCTTAAACGAGAGGCAAAGATGAAAAATATGACAATGTATCAGGTATATCAACTTCTATGTAATTATCTTGGACAACTCTTTTCGATCAGTCAACGAATGTCAGTAGAAAGAATTTCATTCCTTTGAAGCACAATTATTAAAACCCCACACATAGAACCTTAAATCTCAGAAACCCGTGATGGCATCATCACTATGTTTATCTTAATGATATTTACCCTTTACAACAATCTTACACAAGGCCACATCTTTCAATACAATTTTCGTCAGTGACCTTTATCTTTGTTAAGTATTCAACATTTATGTACAAAAATTATATTACACATTAAACAAGAATATTCACAAAACAATGGTTAAATGTATAATGTCATATACCATCAACATAATAATCAAATATTGAATGCAATGACACTTCAGTCTCTTGCACAAGTATATTATCCTTTATATTATCTCATGCATCTTATACCACACAAATATTCATACAGGTAAGTTATATAATGTTTTTAAGTGTATTTAAATAGTCTGATAAGATCAAAATTAATGTTTATATTTTTAAGTGAATTCCTTCGTTTGAAGATACAATATCATATATATATATTACAAGAAATTGACAATGACCATGTGAGCTTATGCCATCACTTGGCGTCCGTCGTCGTAAACTATTTCAAAAATCTTCTCCTCTGAAACTACTGGGCCAAATACCTTCAAACTTTAACTGAATATTCCTTAGTGTATCTTGTTTATAAATTGTATCCAAAGTTTTGATCCATCAACAAACATGGCCGCCATGGCTGAAAATAGAACATAGGGGTCAAATGCAGTTTTTGGCTTCTATCTCAAAAACTAAAGCATTTAGAGCAAATCTGAGAGAGATAAAAATGTTCAATAGGTCATGATCTATCAGTCCTGAAATTTTAAGAAGCATCGAACAACCCATTGTTGGGTTGCTGCCACTAAATTGGTAATTTTAAGGAAATTTTGCAGTTTTTGGTTATTATCTTGATTATTATTGAAGATAAAGATAAACTGTAAACAGCAAAAATGTTCGGCAAAGTAAGATCTACAAAAAAGTTAATATGACCAAAATTGTCAATTGACCCCTTTAGGAGTTATTGCCCTTTACACAATTTGTTCATCATGTTTGCTAACATTTAAAAATCTTCTCCTCTGAAACTACTGGGCCTAATACTTCTAAACTTTAACTGAATGTTCCTTAGGGTAACCGGTATATAAATTGTATCCGAAGTTTTGATCCATTAACAAACATGGCCGCCATGGCTAAAAATAGAACATAGGGGTCAAATGCAGTTTTTGGCTTATCTCAAAAACTATAGCAGTTAGAGCAAAAGTGACATGGAGTTAAAGTGATGAAAAAGTCAAAATCTATCTGCTTTGAAATTTTCAGACCAATTGGACCACCTATTGTAGGGTTACTGTCCAAAATAGCTTATTTTTATGAAATTTTACTGTTTTTGGTTATTATCTTAAATATTATAATAGATAGATAGAAAGTGTAAATGGTAAAAATATTTAGCTAAATAGGATCTACAAATAAGTCAAATGATCAAAATAGTCAATTGACTCCTTAAGGAGTTATTGCCCTTAAAAAGTTTTTTTTTTTACATTTTTTGTGAGTCTAATTACTTTTTCAAAAATTTTCTTCTCTGAAACTTCTTGGCCAAATACTGAATGTTCCTTAGGGTATCTAGTTTATAGATTGTATTCTTGGATTTGATGCATTCAAAAATATGGCGGCAGTTTAAAAATAGAACATAGGGGTCAAATGAAGTTTTTGGCTTTCATCTCAAAAACTAAGGGGCCTCGGTGACCAAGTGGTCTAAGTAGTTCTACTACTGTAATCACTAGCCGGTCAACACTGAGTTTGTGAGTCGAACCCTGCTCGTGCTGGTGCACTTGACTCCAATCTTAATTGACTAGGATTGTCAGTTTTCTATCAAAGGTTGGTGGTTTTCTCCGGGCACTCCGCCTTCCTCCACCGTTAAAAACTGGCCACCACAAAATAGCCCAAAAGTGGTGCTTAAAAGTGGCATTAAAACACCAACAATCAATCTCAAAAACTAAAGCAGTAAGAGCAAAACTGACATAGATGAAAGTGTTAAACAGGTTTAGATCTACCTGTCAAGTAATCTTCAGACCATTAGGACAACTTATTGTTCGGTTACTGTCTAGAAATAGTTAATTTTTAGGAACTTTTACAGTTTTGGGTTATGTATTATCTTTAATATTATTAAAGAAAGAGAGAAAGTGTAAATGACAAAATTGTTCAGCAAAGTAAGATCTACAAATAAGTCAAATGCCTGAAACGGAAATTACAGGTGAGCGATATCAGGCTCTCATGAGCCTCTTGTTTACATATAGCTCCATAGTTTTAATAGATTCACATAATTAAAAACACTCATGCACTCATTCATGAAAACTGAAACAAGACCATGAAGATAACGTTATGTATTAATTTAAAATCTCATTTAAATTGTACATATTGTTATTTGATTGTTTGCATGTAGCATCTCCTGAAATGACATTATTTCATCTTGCATTTCTGTCTGTTGATCAACAAATACAAATACAAATGATTTATTACATTATAACCTGTAGTTAACTAGACACAACAACAAAACAAAAAAGCAATGAAGGAGATGAAAAAAGTTTGTAATATGGGATGTTTTATATAAGTTAACGTAGGAATTATAATTTATCCTATTGTAACTTGTATGTATGTATGTTTTTGTGATTGACTTTTGTAGACGGCAGTATCATATATATTGAAGATAAGATTAGGAGGTAAAGGCTATGCCCCTGACCCTAGTCATCCATTGTTACAGTTTGTCAAAGGGTTGGGAGAATTTGTTGATCTGATGCATAAGTTACAGAATGTTATTGAAGAGGAATCAAATACAAGGTTAGATATAATGTTTAATTTAGGATAGGAAAGGTCAAATACAAGGTTAGATATAATGTTTAATTTAGGATAGGATAGGTCAAATACAAGGTTAGATATAATGTTTAATTTAGGATAGGATAGGTCAAATACAAGGTTAGATATAATGTTTAATTTAGGATAGGAAAGGTCAAATACATGGTTAGATATAAAGTTTAATTTAGGATAGGATAGGTCAAATACAAGGTTAGATATAATGTTTAATTTAGGATAGGAAAGGTTCAAATACAAGGTTAGATATAATGTTTAATTTAGGATAGGAAAGGTCAAATACAGGGTTGGATATAATGTTTAATTTAGGATAGGAAAGGTTCAAATACAAGGTTAGATATAATGTTTAATTTAGGATAGGAAAGGTCAAATACAAGGCTAGATATAATGTTTAATTTAGGATAGGATAGGTCAAATACAAGGTTAGATATAATGTTTAATTTAGGAAAGGAAAGGTCAAATACAAGGTTAGATATAATGTTTAATTTAGGATAGGAAAGGTCAAATACAAGGCTAGATATAATGTTCAATTTAGGATAGGATAGGTCAAATACAAGCATTGACAAGGCTAGATATAATGTTTAATTTAGGATAGGAAAGGTCAAATACAAGGCTAGATATAATGTTCAATTTAGGATAGGAAAGGTCAAATACAAGGCTAGATATAATGTTTAATTTAGGATAGGAAAGGTCAAATACAAGGTTAGATATAGTGTTTAATTTAGGATAGGAAAGGTCAAATACAAGGTTAGATATACTGTTTAATTTAGGATAGGAAAGGTCAAATACAAGGCTAGATATAATGTTCAATTAAGGATAGGAAAGGTCAAATACAAGGCTAGATATAATGTTCAATTTAGGATAGGATAGGTAAAATACAAGGTTAGATATAATGTTTAAATACAAGGCTAGATATAATGTTTAATTTAGGATAGGAAAGGTCAAATACAAGGTTAGATATAATGTTTAATTTAGGATAGGATAGGTCAAATACAAGGTTAGATATAATGTTTAATTTAGGATAGGATAGGTCAAATACAAGGCTAGATATAATGTTTAATTTAGGATAGGATAGGGCAAATACAAGGTGAGATTATAATGTTTAATTTAGGATAGGATAGGTCAAATACAAGGTTAGATTATAATGTTTAATTTAGGATAGGATAGGTCAAATACAAGGCTAGATATAATGTTTAATTTAGGATAGGATAGGTCAAATACAAGGCTAGATATAATGTTTAATTTAGGATAGGAAAGGTCAAATACAAGGCTAGATATAATGTTTAATTTAGGATAGGATAGGTCAAATACAAGGTTAGATATAATGTTTAATTTAGGATAGGATAGGTCAAATACAAGGCTAGATATAATGTTTAATTTAGGATAGGATAGGGCAAATACAAGGTTAGATTATTATGTTTAATTTAGGATGGGATAGGTCAAATACAAGGTTAGATTATTATGTTTAATTTAGGATAGGAAAGGTCAAATACAAGGCTAGAAATAATGATTAATATAGGACAGGAAAGGTCAAATATGAGGCTGGATATAATGTTTAATTTAGGATAGGAAAGGTCAAATACAAGGTTAGATATAATGTTTAATTTAGGATAGGATAGGTCAAATACAAGGCTAGATATAATGTACAATTAAGGATAGGATAGGTCAAATACAAGGTTAGATATAATGTTTAATTTAGGATAGGAAAGGTCAAATACAAGGTTAGATATAATGTTAAATTTAGGATAGGATAGGTCAAATACAAGGTTAGATATAATGTTTAATTTAGGATAGGAAAGGTCAAATACAAGGCTAGATATAATGTTTAATTTAGGATAGGAAAGGTCAAATACAAGGCTAGATATAATGTTCAATTTAGGATAGGAAAGGTCAAATACAAGGCTAGATATAATGTTTAATTTAGGATAGGAAAGGTCAAATACAAGGTTAGATATAGTGTTTAATTTAGGATAGGAAAGGTCAAATACAAGGTTAGATATACTGTTTAATTTAGGATAGGAAAGGTCAAATACAAGGCTAGATATAATGTTCAATTAAGGATAGGAAAGGTCAAATACAAGGCTAGATATAATGTTCAATTTAGGATAGGATAGGTAAAATACAAGGTTAGATATAATGTTTAAATACAAGGCTAGATATAATGTTTAATTTAGGATAGGAAAGGTCAAATACAAGGTTAGATATAATGTTTAATTTAGGATAGGATAGGTCAAATACAAGGTTAGATATAATGTTTAATTTAGGATAGGATAGGTCAAATACAAGGCTAGATATAATGTTTAATTTAGGATAGGATAGGGCAAATACAAGGTGAGATTATAATGTTTAATTTAGGATAGGATAGGTCAAATACAAGGTTAGATTATAATGTTTAATTTAGGATAGGATAGGTCAAATACAAGGCTAGATATAATGTTTAATTTAGGATAGGATAGGTCAAATACAAGGCTAGATATAATGTTTAATTTAGGATAGGAAAGGTCAAATACAAGGCTAGATATAATGTTTAATTTAGGATAGGATAGGTCAAATACAAGGTTAGATATAATGTTTAATTTAGGATAGGATAGGTCAAATACAAGGCTAGATATAATGTTTAATTTAGGATAGGATAGGGCAAATACAAGGTTAGATTATTATGTTTAATTTAGGATAGGATAGGTCAAATACAAGGTTAGATTATTATGTTTAATTTAGGATAGGAAAGGTCAAATACAGGGCTAGAAATAATGATTAATATAGGACAGGAAAGGTCAAATATGAGGCTGGATATAATGTTTAATTTAGGATAGGAAAGGTCAAATACAAGGTTAGATATAATGTTTAATTTAGGATAGGATAGGTCAAATACAAGGCTAGATATAATGTACAATTAAGGATAGGATAGGTCAAATACAAGGTTAGATATAATGTTTAATTTAGGATAGGAAAGGTCAAATACAAGGTTAGATATAATGTTAAATTTAGGATAGGATAGGTCAAATACAAGGTTAGATATAATGTTTAAGATCAAATACAAGGTTAGATTATAATGTTTAATTTAAGGTAGGATAGGTCAAATACAAGGTTTTATATTGCAACTAGTTGTGTTTATTTCCTAAATATAGTAACATATCTATATTTTGTCCAATGTCTACCCACAATCAGGGGTTCATTTAGGGATGAAAACCTCGCCCTTCCCCAGTTTCTCAGCCTCATACCAAAAAGTTTATATTTTTCTGACATTGACCAATATTGTATATAAATATAATGTTTAATTTACGGTAAGATAGGTCAATTTTTGGAAAAAAGGTACATCAAATTTGAAGTTTGGGAAAAATGTGTAATCACATATTTACAGAATTTTCTGTTGAATTAAAAGTACTTTTTCCCATTTATATAATAACAATTTATGATCTTAAAAGCTATTTTGAATGCACAGTTATTTTGATGGAATATTCTCTATAGTAGCCCAACAGCATTCTGGTTAAACAATGTGTTCCTTCAGTGTGATGCCATATGCCATAGTCACATTTTTGATATTTTATTACAATACAAAATAAGAATTTTGCAAACAGGGAAACCCCATTTTCACTGTTTGATCTGTATATTATGAAATGTAATTAGTTGTTGATGGTGGTCGAAACTTATCTTTAATAGTGAATGTTTTTTTCTCTTAACCTCATCTCACTCTCTACAGGTCAGCTTGTCGTAAAGTTGTTAATATCATAAAGAAAGAACTGCTGAGATCAACAGATACTAAGTTACGACAAAGTAGTATAGAGACCGTCAGTGAAAGTTTACAACAACAGATTAAAATGGTTATTGACCAGACAGAGAGGAACAAGATGTCTAGTCCAGATAAAGTAAGAATATACATAAGATCCACAGACCAGAACACATATTGCCCCTCTACTATTGTAGACGAAGCATAGAAGTGAAACCTATTATAGAATGATAGATATTTAATTTGGCATTAAAATCCAGAAATACAAAACAAATACCAGTCAATGTTGTTGAACATGATAACCATGTTAAACAGCAGATTGACATAATAAAAAAACCTATGAAAGATATAAATGTTTCTTAACAAAAATGAAATTAAAAGCTAAATTAACAATTTAAGCACTGAAACAAAATTATTTTGAGAAAGTATAATGCAAAAAAAAAAAATCTGGCAATACATAGTGTATGAAAAGTTACCTAGTATCGAGAGTAAGTCTGAAATTTGGACCTGGCAGACTATACTCTTCTCAAAAGATTATAGGGCAAATGTTAGGAACTTGGACAGTCAGAATGGCACTGTTAACATTCCAAACAACAACCTAGATACTCCAATCCTACCATTGGGACATCCTTAAAAATATTGGCAGCAATTCCCCTGCACAAAGCAATAATGATATCTCCCCTTCCCATTCTCCCTAGGGTATGAATAGATGTGTAAAAAGAGTTTATTATACTGTAGTATTAGAAACAAATCTTTGATTTTGAACAGGACCTGGAGTTCTATCAATGCAACTTAAGGATGTACTTAGGTGAAATTTAAAAAATCTAGAATTTGAAATTGATACTATAAGTCAGAAGAGCATTAGTTAAGAAACAAAATAAGCTAAAAATATTGATAGCTTATGGAGCGCCTTTTCGAGATATTTAATTTTAAAAAATGGCGGGAAAAGGCTGACTCGGACTTTTACCTTATATTTGTATTGGTATTATTTGGGTCTCAAATCGAAAGAAAAGAAATCCAGAATCTGCTTAAATTTTGGCTAATGACGTTATGAGCTATTGAATTCTTATACGAAAAGAAAAAATGTTATGGGGCAAAATATTTTACCCTGTATCGTAGGAAAAAAACCAAGGAGTCTGAACATCTGACAAAAATTCCTAAACCTGAACTAAGTACATCCTTATTTACTTTTACATTAAAGTATTCTTCAGTAGATCTCAGCTGTCTGAGTGTCACAGCCTCAAGAGCTATCTATGGGAGAAACAACTTTTTTTTTAATGTAAACCCTCCCCCTTTTTTTGGATGCTCTCTGGTTGCTGACAGATTGGCAGGCTCTTTTCAGCTGAATTGAAGTACAACTTGATTCAAAATGTACAAAACAATACAAAGTAATTCTTAACTTTACTACTTTGAAGGAGCAGTTGAGAATAAAAAATTGTGTTTCTTCATGATCAAATCATAATTATGATGAGCATGTGTGTCAATCTTGAAGTCTGAATTAGAAGACAATGAAATCGTCGTTGCAAACATGTGTCGAGTACAATGTAAACAAGAAGCAATAAAGTGCAAAAACTAAACGTAATATTATAACTTCAAACTCCCTAGTAATATCTAATAGTAAAAGATTTAAGAATACCAGTGCAGCACTCAAAGTACACTTTTTTTAATTGCCAGCTGAACCGGCCAGAAATTGTATTGACCAGGCTAGTACATAATGAAAACACTGCTTATATTGCCATGCTTAGTTATTGATGTAGTTAGACTATTTGAGGAAAATAATGAATACACCAGGTGAAATCAGTTTTATCTTCAGTCTGTCAGTAACGTAAGTTTAGGAGAGAAGACATTGACATTGTTGAATTACAGAATATTTCTTTATTATTTTCAGTCTGTCAGTAATGGTGGAAGTCTGTTGGGAAGGAAAACATTGACAGCTTTACGTTACATAACAGACAAGATACTAACACAACAGGACCAGTGTCAGTCAATTGATTATTTGTGTGACGGTTTCTCTAGTCAGAAAACACCCATTAGATTTCCTTCACTGTTATCACAATTCAGGTTTGTATACTATTTGACACCTGTTCCAAAATTTATAAGGGGGGATTGGAGGTGCTCAAGTAAATTGAATATGGGTTGTTTCCATAGAATTTTGTAAGAATTATAAATAAAACAAAAATTAACAGGAACTGATATCTGTCATTTGACCTCCAGATTGGAATAAAAGCTTGTACTTTTTTTTTAACATGAGTTAAGCTCATATTTATGGATATATTATCAAATGAGAAAATAAATGATCATTTTGAATTTATTGATAGATCTCCTGATGAAGAAAATGGTGATGATGCTGAAGAGAATTCTGACCTCAGTTTATCACTCTCAGAAAGATTATTGAAAAGACAATCTGGGGTATGCATACAGTATTTTTTTATATAAAAATAAGGAGGTGCAGTCTCTTTAATCATTCTGTGAACATTCAGTATAAATCTAGACTATTAATAATTGTTTTGACTAGGTATGGTGAAACAATCAACCAACATCAATCAACATCAGTTTATTCTGTTCACACAATGATAATCTTGATGAAAAGACATGTATGAACACAGTCAAAATGGCATGGCAACTCATTACATGTAGACACACCTTTTGTTATTAAACACATGAATATACTACACTGACATATTGTTTAGAGTAATTTTTGTTGAGTCTGCGACAAAAGTCATGGAAGTGAGACATACCGATTCTATATTCCTTTACCAGCATTGTCAACATTTAGGTTTAGTCTGTGATTCAAGACTTTTTTTCAGAATCAAAAACATTGTAAAACCCAAATAGAATTTTATGAAACTTGGATAGAAGCTTTTTCATGATCATAAGACCATGTCCAAAGCAACATTTTGAAAAACAAAATTGGCAGAAGCTTTTTCATGATCAAGAAAAGTCTGAAGCAAAATATTGAGAATTTTTTTTCCATCTATTCATTATCGTTTCCATGACATTACAATTTTTAGACATGATAACTTAGTACAACTTCATGGATTGTTATGAAACTTGGACAGAAACTAATCCTCAAGTTCAAGAAATAGAATCTAAAGAAAAAGTTTGATTTTGTTTTTAATCCTGTATTTTACTGACATGAACTCACTTTCTACAGTCAACATTAAATTTACAATTTTACACTTACAGCAGCTATTGCAGGCCAGACCCCGAGTTCAGCAAAACCCTTGACAAATTTTTATTTTCATAATGATGCGACGGATTTGGCAACTTTTGAGCATTTCTAAATTTTGAAACTGAGCATCCTTATCAAATTTAACCCCTGATTTGACAAAGGACATGATAAAAGGAAAACATCTAGAAATTGGTGATATTTGAACAGACTAAAAAAATCTGTTAACATTAGAAAATGGAGATTTTAATGAAAAAGGTGTGTATTTACTTTTGCAAAGGATTCTTATTTTTTCTGCATAATAATTAATATATGTTTTGACTTATTCCTTTTGAAAACAGGTTTCCTTGGAGACAACAAGATCATACCAAGCCTCCTATGACTGGGCTTTACCAGCCCATCATGTAGGTTTACCAAACAAAGATGACATCTGTCCAACAAATAGTCCAGTTGTAGTCCTACCAAGGTATTTAATTTCACTATTGTTTTATACACACAACAGCACTGCATGTATAAGGTAGTTATGGTCAACATCAAACATAATCGTTATTAAATCAACTGTTTAATATATATGCTAAATTAGAGTTTTTACCAAAATTTCATGGTTCACTAAACATGGAAATGTTATAGTGCAAGCAGGCATTAGAAGGGCATGAAAAAAGCATTTAAATTGTTTATACAAAATTGAAGATATGGGAATATCGTAAAAACTTGTCTAAGTTAAATTGATTCCTCTAAAAATTTATCTACCAATGAAGACGAACTGTTAATCAAATGGTTGGTAAATGTTGGCAAATTAAAATAATTGATAAAGCAGTAGAAGTTAAAGAAACTTGTAACAAAGGTCAACTGCTTTATCTATACAACAAGCTAAAATATAAACCTTTTTACACATAATTAATTAGAATCTCTTGATATTTTTCAGTAAAACTTTGGCTCATCCTGCTTCAGCATCTAAGGCAGGCTTAGCAAAGAAGATTTTAGAATCCATCTGTGATCAGGAAAATATACAGAAATTACAAATTACAAAGACTTTTGGTGAAACATGTAAATCCAAGTCTGTAGATGTGGTATCTAGTCAAACAACAATGGAACTCTCTAGTCAGACATCTGATGAAACAAAGGGAAATGTAGAGAAAGGGGGAAAGAAACGAAAAAACAATGAATCAAATGCTCCAGCAAAGAAAAAGTCCAAAACAGAAACAAAGTCTTGTCGAAGAAAGTTACTACCACAGGTGAAAGGTCAACAACAGTTGTCTACATTTTTCCGGGTGTAATTATTCCAATAATATTACCAGAATTTAAAATATCAGTTTTTTAAAGTTTTAATGCCATATTTGTTTTAGATTTGATATTAATTATTTACAAGATATTCAAGCATAACTAGTCTTTCTGTGTATTAATTATTTGTAAAAAAATTTTGTATATGTAAATGTGTAAATTACTTATTTATTTTTTAAAGTTTGAAACAAATGCATATTATTTTTAGACAAACGTGTCTGATATAGTAAATCTAATGAGCTTATATTCTGTTTCATATATTTCAATTCAAATTGAACATTGTAGATTCCAGTGTAGTCTACATCTAGATATATCATAAGAACACCAGTCTATTGGGACGACTATACATTGATATCTTAATTTCATTAGATTTTTTCGGATTATACCCCCTGATTTCTGATCATGATATACTTTTGCGGTTCTTATTTCATTTCATCCATCTGAATGATTTTTTGTTTATCTTTGCCATGACATGGACTCTGTCATATCTGCACTGTACAGTACTAATTTGTATCAGCTTCTCCTCAACCCTGAATCAGAATTACATAAACTTTCTCAGAATTTTGAATTGAAAGCAATCTTATTATTGTAAATGATATTATAGATAAAAAAAGGTTGTGTTGCTCATGATGTAATTTTAACTGAAAAATAAATAAAACAGGATAACTGAAATCAATTAAATGAAGAAATCAATGCCAAAAGAGTAGTCTGCCAACTAAAAGTTATTTAATTCTTTACACAGCACTGTCAATATAAAAATAAACAAATTTATGTGGAATGGTTTGCTTATAAAATTAGAATCATTATCTAAAACATTACAAGAGACTTATACAAGATGTTTTTGATAATGATTCTAATTTTATAAGCAAACCATTCCCCATAAATTTGTATATTGACAGTGCTGTGTAAAGAATTGAACCAACAATCAGGTCTAGTAAATGGTTGTGTGTACTTAAGAATATATGTCATATCAAAACAATTTATATGAATCTTTTTCGAAATATTTGAAAGAAAATAAACTGGAAACTTTAAGTTGGAAATTCCTGAAACATATTCTTATTCTGAACAATTTTTTTGGTTTACTTTGGATAAAATGGACATGGACTTCGTCAAATCTGTGCACCATAGTACATATTTGTTTCTGCTCCTCCTAACCCCTTATGTAATTTAATGGCACTTTATCAGAATCTATACCATATAATGCAATTGTGCACCTCCTATTTAGTTTTTTGGTTTGAATGATTTTTTGGGGAAGTTTCCCTTAGCTTAGTAAATCTTTGTTATTGCTTTATTTTTGGGGTACCCGTTTTGTATCTGGAACTCCTACAAAACCCCTTCTTACAATTAGTTGAAAATTTCTCATAATTTTTCTTTACCATAAAATGCTTTCCTTCCACCTCTGATTTTGGGTTTTCATTACCTAAGCATGAACTTTGCCATTACTGTAAATTCAGAAATTATTACGAGGTTTTTATTAATGGAAATAATGTGACTGGGTGAGTACCTCAATAATAAGAACTCGCATTCTGATAACCGAAATATAGACCTGTATAAGGTTTTTTTCGAAATCACAATTACCAAACTCGCATTTTTGTCCATTCTTGAAAAATCGCAACAATGAATGCACGCAATAATTTCTGAATTTACAGTACTTTATTTGGGGTACTTATTTTGTATCTGCAAATTCTCCTTAACCTCATATTTTTTTTTCAAACTTTCTCACAATCCTAACCATCAGAATCACTTTTTGTGTTTCCTTCATCAAATCATGTGTGCACACTACAGTACTAATTTATACCCCTTCTCGTAAACCCTGAATTAGATGGTTTTCTTTATGTTCACCCTTCGTGTCTATAAAATGATTTTCTCACAGTTCTTCTTAATGAAAATAAGTTATTAAATGTTATTTAGTTATGTGTTAGAAATAAATATTATGACCCCCATTCATACTAAAAAAATAATATCTAATTTCATTTTGATGAAGTTCTTGTCTGAAATGTTGATTGATAATGTGCAGCTTATAATGACATTTTTTTAGTCTACAAGGGACTGTATTTGTAAACTTATTGAGTTTTTATTTATATTTTATTTAATGTCATTCATTGTATTTCTGTGACTGACAAACATTTATTCAATTATTGTAGTTCATATTTTTGTAGGTAAATCGTATGGTTGTATTTATTTTGTATATATAAATGTAAATGTGAATTATGTTTTAATAATCTTATTTAAATAACTTATTGTATTATGATTATATATGTGTGGTAATCAATAAAAGTGCAATATTTATGTTAGTTTATTATTGTTGCATCCCAGCCACCAATGTCACAGATTTGCCATTGGACATAAAGCAAACAACAATAAATAAACCAATGTCACAAAATGCAAGACATATTGGGGAAACTACTTTGACAAAAACCTAAACTTCTTGTGTATAACTTTATAATTGAGAAAGAAAAAAAGAATTGAAAAATAAAATTGAGAATGGAAATGGGGAATATGTCAAAGAAACAACAACCCGACCAAAGAGCAGACAATAGCCGAAGGCCACCAATGGGTCTTCAATGCAGCGAGAAAATCCCGCACCCGGAGGTGGTCCTCAGCTGGCCCCTAAATAAAATTGTGTGCTAGTTCAGTGAAAATGGACGTCACACTAAACTCCAAAACATATAAATGAACTAAAATTAAAAAACATACAAGTTGAAGACTAACAAAGGCCAGAGGCTCCTGACTTGGTACAGGCGCAAAAATGCGGTGGGGTTAAACATGTTTTGTGAGATCTCAACTCTCCCCCTATACCTCTAGTCAATGTAGAAAGAAGAAACACATAGCAATACGCACAGTAAAACTCAGTTTAAAAGAAGTCCAAGTCCGATGTCAGAAAAGGTAACAAAAGAAACTAAGCAAAATGACAATGATACATAAATGAACAAAGGACTACTAGCAGTTACTGACATGCCAACTCCAAACCTCAATTAAACTGATTAAAAGATTATGTCTTCATCATATGAAAATCAAGTACAATCCCTCCCGTTAGGGGTTTAGTATCATACCATCATAAAATATATGAGAAGAACATAACCCGTATCATGTCAACAACTGGTTTTAGAATAAATGTGTTTATTTCCGATTCAAAGACCCTATGAGTGAATCAATATTAATACCAAAATATGCAATCCTTAATGACTTGACAACAGTATCTTAACTATATCCTTTCCGAATAAGTCTGTTTAAAGGTTTGGTTAGCTTTTGAGGTGAATGCCGACATTTTTGTGCTTTGTAAAGAATATTACCATAAAATATTAGATGTGAAATACCTGAACATATAAGATGGCTGCATGTTGATTTATATTTACGAATGATGTCCTTGTACCATTGATAAAATTTTGATTACTTATGCCTTATAAATCATCTTTATTTGAAGTATAGAATCATTGCATGGTTTGTTGATTTCGTCTTCTTGCTAAGTCTTGTCTATTCCAAAAAAAAAGAAATAAATATAAAACTCGTCAAACTTGTTTCAAAGAGAAGTGTATGCTTTCTCCAATCTTGGGTAGCGTGAATAAATAATCCATAGTTGAAAATGATACGCTTATTAAACTAATTGAATACTGAAAATTCAGAAATTATTGTGTGCATTTATTTTTGTAAATTTAAAGAAAGGACAAAAATTCAAGATTAATTATTGCAATTTCAAGAAAATTGTAACTTGGTAAAACCTTCATGGAATTTTATAAAATTTAGACAGAAGCTTATTTATGATCAAAATACTGTATTCAGAGCAAACTTTTGAAAAAAAATATTTTCATTTTTCAGTATTTTACTGATAAACGGACTTATTTTTTTATTTTTTTTTTTACAGTTAACAAGTAGATTCCGTCTGGGATTAAAGTTTGTTACACATCAATTACGTTGTCAAACATTCATAGAGTTTTATGAAACTTTTGCAGAAGCTTTTCAATGATTAAGAAATAATTTCTGAAGCAATCCTTTGAAAATATATTTTTTGCACTTTTAGCATTTTTCTGATAGATGGACTTTTTTTAGTTAACATTTACAGACAGTCTGGGAATACATTTTTTTTACATGATAAATGTGTAAACCTTCATGGATTGTTATGAAACTTGGACAGGAGCTAATATTCAAGACCAAGAAATAGCATCTAAAGAAAAAGTGTGATTTTTTTGTTAAATTTTGTATGTAACTGATAAATGGACTTACTTTTTAAGTCAACATTGCACTTTTTTACTGACAGCAGCAATGACAGGCGAGACACAGGGTTCCATCGAACCCGATATGATTTTTTAAAGTAAATATTAATGTTAAATCCATATTTTCCACTTCTTTAATGTGTTCTTGCTCTTATCCATTCGATATTACAATAACAGTAGCTTATATATGATGTCCCTTTATTTTACTTCTATTTCCTAAAGTCAGGATAGATGGTAAATTTAAAATCGTACATCTGCTTGCCTCCATCAAATTTTATGCACGATATTTCCATTATATCATACCCCAAGCGCCCATGATATAAACTCATAAAATAAAAAAGTAACAATATTTCATTATTTAGAAATCATCAGTGAAAAACATTAACAACACAAGGTATACATGTCTGACAGGCATGGATAGATATAAGAAGATGTGGTATGAGTGCCAATGAGACAACTCTCCATCCAAGTCAAAATTTATAAAAGTGAACCATTATAGGTCACAGTACGGTCTTCAACACGGAGCCTTGGCTCACACCGAACAGTAAGCTATAAAGGGCCCCAAAAAAATTACTAGTGTAAACCATTCAAACGGGAAAACCAACGGTCTAATCTAAATAAAAAACGAGAAACACTTATGAACCACATCAACAAACGACAACTACTGAACATCAGAGTCCTGACTTAGGACAGGTGCAAACAAATGCAGCGGGTTTAGACGTTTTAATGGTACCAAACCTTCACCCTTTTTCTGAAACAATAGCGTAACATCACAACATAGAAAGACACACTATAAAATATCAACTGAAATAGCTTAACTCAATCAAAGGACATATTAACACCATTGAATATACACTGAACAAATAAATTTGACCTATGACACAATGTAAATACAAAATAAATAAACTAAGGGAAGAATAATAAAAGTAACATATTATATCGGTAAGAAATGTTAAACAATTAAAGAAAAACAATATGTTCGAACAAAAATATCAGCCATTTGCAATAACTTTAAACACAGGTAAATGAAAATAATTTTGTTGTTAGGTATAAGTGTACAGTACCAATAGAGAAAGGAAATATTTTTACAAAATAAATAATTTTGATGTTCATAGTACGAAGTGAAAATTTATAGTTATACCAAACACTTATCAAAGCTGGTATATAGACCAGATATAACCCTGAATAACATTAAATAACAAAAAAGCAATACAATTAGTATCAACAGGTCAAATAAACAAGAAAGTACGATTTGAGAGTACTCGCAGTTACTGACAGCTAGTTAAAAGCCTAAACAATTAATAATAAAAAATCCTGCATCAGAGACTAAAATCAACTAAAACACATCCCAGGGATTTAGTATTTTAACGTCATGGACAGTCAAAGAAGACATGACTAGTGCAATGCCAAAAATAAATGTATCGACAGACAGTAGGATAGTTAGGAGTTTAACCTCTTAATAGATCTAAACGAACGTGGGTGTGTCTTTATACATCCCACTTGAAAAAAATACAAATTTAGTTATGTTTTAATTTGCTGATGACAAAATCGATATTAGTGCCAATGTAAACTATATTCAAAGATCTAATTACAACATTGGTAAGATAACCTTTACTAATAAGTTTGTTTAAAGGTTCGGTGAGTTTACACGGATCACATAGTGATTTCCGCGCTTTAAGTACAATATTACCGTAAAATTTAGGATGTGAAATACCGTTTTTAATCAGTTTTCTACAAGTACAGCCAAATTTACTAATCAAATCTTTGTATCTATGAAAGAACTTAGAAAAAGTTTTACGTAATTTATGGTAACGAAATCCTTGATTTAATAATTTACCAGTGATGCATTGATTACGTTCGTTGAAATCTATGACATCACTACACACACGGGCATAACGAACGAGTTGGGATATATATACACCGTATGATGGAGCCAAAGGAACATCGCCGTCTAAAAAAGGAAAATTAACAATAGGGAATGAAAAATCGTCTCTTTTGTCGTAAATTTTCGTATGGAGTTTTCCTTTAGAGATTGAAATGTCCAAATCCAGAAAAGGACAACTACTGCTGTTTATGTTAGATTTAGTAAAAGTAAGTTCTATTGGGTAAATTTCGGTAGTATATTTAGAGAACTCTGGATTATTTAACGAAAAAATATCATCTAGATAACGGAAGGTATTGTTGAATGTATCAACCAAATGTAACAATGACGTGTCTTTACTGAGTTTGGTCATAAACTGAGATTCATAGCAATACAGGAATAAATCTGTTATTAAAGGGGCGCAGTTAGTGCCCATAGGAATACCTACTACTTGTCGATACACTCTATCGCCGAAACGTACATATATGTTGTCCAGGAGAAAATTTAAAGCTTCAATCATATCTTCACATTTCCAGTAAGTGTATCTAGCATACTTTCCTTTTTCGTTCCAGAAAAAGGCTTTAAACGAGTTACAGCAAATAAATTTGTAATGAGATTTTTCAAAAGACCATTTAATTAAATATGAAAACTTTTTCTTGATAAGATTGTGTGGAAGTGTAGTATAGAGAGTAGAAAAATCATAACTGTCAACAGAATTAAAAGGACCATCAAAAGCATGTATTTTATCTAAAACCTCTAAAGAATTTTTAACACTCCAAAAATAATTAATACCATTATTTTCATAAGCTTTATTACAAAAGTTAATAACAAGTTCTTTGATAGTAGTAAGGGAGGTAGTTAGAAGCACTGATAGATTAGTAGTAGAACACTTACTAGATGCGGAGATGAAACGGAATTTAAATGTTTTTTTGTGCAATTTAGGTAACCAGTACATAGTAGGGACTTTCAAATGTTCGGAAGAGGCCTTAAGCTGGGTAGTGGCAGTGATATGCTTGTTTACAATTTGACTCTCTGTGGAGCGTACGGACCTGAATGTAGATGAATTTGTAATTTCGTTTTGGAGAACTTCCGTGTAGTATATGCGTCACACCACCACTACATTATTTGCTGCTTTGTCTGCCGGTACGAACACAAACCGCTTTGCGAGTACTTGGAGTTTACTTTTTATTCTGGAAATGGGAATATCATGGACCCTATTACTATTTTCAGAATTGTTTTCAAAATGAGATATACGAATATTAACAGTATTCATAATTTTATTCAAATAACTGTCTAGAGATTTTTTATCAGATTTTTCACGTTTACACTAATTTTTACAGTAGACAGACAAAGCGTCTTTAATGATCTGACGACACTGTTTCCAATCTATTTTAGATGGAGGACGATATTTCGGTCCTTTCTTAAGAAAAGTTATGACCTCACGGTCTTCGACGATGTTGAGGTCTCCTGTAAGGACATGACCATAGGGAACATATCTAAAACTAGATGTTTCACAATCTCAAATGGAAGGAACATTATTTTCTATATTGACGTCTGATGTAACTGACGTATTAAAAATCAAACTTCTGCTGTTTTTTTTTATAAGAATACGAAATAAGAGGTGGTTCTATATTATCAAAATATGGAGGTATTTGGCTTTGGATGGTAGAGTCATTGAATATACTAGATAAGTTAATAAAATCATCAGCAAATTAAATATATATATTTATATATTTTAATTTAAGAAAATGCCGTTTATGATTTTCAGGTTTATCGATACTAGGAAATAGCCTATGATGACAAAAGGCTGTAATAATACGGGTGTATTCATACATTGGGCTAAAAAAAGAAATTGTTATGGTCCACCCAACTTTTATCTTACTTAATGGTTCAGTGATCAACATCAACTTAATTATGATCAGGTCTGTTAATAGCACCAGAAACATATAGTACAATTGTTTATGTCTCTGGGAACATAAAAGAAACAAATCATATATATTTGGTGAATGATTGTAATGTGGTTATGACTGTCTGGTAGGTTTATCTGGTGTTGAACTGATATTTAGTAGCAGGAACCCTACAACTACAGAGCTTTCAAGTTCTGAGGGAAAATGGCCATTGTTTCCATTTATACTATTACTAGTGTGATAGCCTGTTATTTTATGTATTTTGTATATTTCTATATTCTTAGTACTTGATATTAGTATATACTTGAATAAAGTTATATTGTTAGCTTATTAATTACATTCTGTAATTAAGGATTAGCATTGTGTATTATTCTATTTTAACTTATTGACATGGACTATTGACGGACGAATTCTCATCTCATGTTTTGGTTAAGTCTGATTTCACTGTAGTTAGTACTTTATTTTCACGGTTGATTTGAGCGCTATGGTACATTTCTTCTATTGGTCAGTACTTTTGGCGGTTTAATTCCTTTGTTCTAGATCTTATGAGAAGACATCTTGTGGTCAACACCTATATATTTACCTGTCTGCAATTTAACAACTTGAAGAAATTAATATCTGTTAAATAACAATTCTGTGATTGGAAAGTTTCTTATATAAGGTCAGTCTTATTCTCTCTTTATTAATTTTGCAATAACTGTCCAATAGTTCATATTTTACACGTATGAATGTTTAGATTGAATGTCGAGAACGAGTGTTAAATTTTATAACAAAAGAGATCGTAAATGTATTTAAAACATAAGAAGAGTAGAATTTTACGATCAGATATAATAATATTTCATTAACCTATTTAAATCTGGTATGACAATTTAAAGATAAAACTTTACGTATAAAAACTGAATGAATGCATGTATCGAGCGGCCCGGTATGAATGCGGTAATTTTTAAAGGTTAATCGAATTAAAGTAAATACCCAGCAGGCACAGCAACGTTGATTCAACATTGAATAAACGTCAGATTTCAACGTTGAATCAATGTTGAAAAGTAGTGTTGGATTGAAAATTGATATGACGTTGAAAACATAACGTTGATTCAACGTCAGCTTCCAACGTTGAAAAAAGGTTGAATTTTGGTCTAAATTTGGTCAATGCAAGTTGAAAACAAGTCGAATGATGGTTGAACTGTGGTTAGTGTATGTTGAAATTAGGTCGAATGCTGATTGAACTGTGGTCAGTAAATGTTGAAATCAGGTCGAATGCTGGTTGAACTGTGGTCAGTGTATGTTGAAATTAGGTCGAATGCTGGTTGAACTATGGTCAGCGTATGCTGAAAACATGTTGAATGTTGGTTGAACTGTGGTCACTGTATGTTGAAATCAGGTCGAATGCTGGTTGTTATGAGGCCAGTGTATGCTGAAAACCTGTCGAATGTTGGTTGAACTGTGGTTAGTGTATGTTGAAAATAGGTAGGATTTGGGCCTAGGTAGACTGTTTTAGGGTTAACGTTAATGCAAGTTGAATCTCGAAATGTGGTCAATGTTGAGAATATGATTTTGAACATTGGTTTAATTGTGGGTTGTCAACAGCTGAAATCATTACCACTTATTATATCCATCAGTGCCATTTTATGTGTAATAAAACTTTCACAAAACTATATGTACTAAGTGGTAGTAGTCATGTGTCGGTGGTTGATATACATGTAGTCTGTTGCTGAGTTCATTATTTAGGAGATTTCTGCCTGTTCCAATATTTCCTTTTTTGTATTTCGCTAAATTGTATGATTAAGTGGAAAATAAGTCATTCACTTTGTTTTGGTAATTATTATACTTGTAATGAGACCACTCACTTCTGAATCTGGTGTTTATGATACAAGACTTGACAAGAAGAACAGGCACAACTTATTAACCTTACCAGGCATAGATAGTCTTAAACTTTATTGTAGTTTCAGTTGTCATACCTTTTTGTACTTTCATTTTTCATAATAGACAGGATCATGTTTGTTCATACACAAAATATGTTTGTGACATAAAACAGTAATTATATAACATGTTGCTCACAAATGCATCTTACAATTTCAAACAAACACAAACTGAATACTTAATTTTATTTAAAATGTTTATCCTTTTGCTAGACACATTCCCGAAATTTCTGGGCGTATTTTAGGTATATTGCACACTAGTTCCATATTGTTGTCCATGTTGCCATTTGTGACTTGTAGCTATAGCATCTGCAACAGAAAAAAAAACATATTATACTATCTTTATCATAACTAGGTTAATATTATTTTGCAGCTCAAATGAAGAACACTACTGTAATATGTGAAAAAATAATCTCTGTGCAATGATATTGTTATTTTTTAAAATATTTATTGAGACCAACCATGTTTTTTTAAACTTTTATAATAAAAAAAAATATTTTTTAATACAAAAAACCTATAGATTTTAGTAGACAATGATACTAGAGCACATTTAAAAGAAATTGTGACAAAATCCCACACAATTTTAAATGTGGAAAACAATGATATATATTTCAATACTCACCTCTTATTATTTCAAAAAAGCTTGAACCACCAAAGGCATGTTTATTCTTTTTACCCGTCATGTATTTTTCAGACATGGGTTTATTGGTAAAGACATCTACAAAAAAGACACTTTTAAGTGCAGCATTTCCAAATTGTCACAACTCCTTCTATAACTTGAAATAGAAAAAAAAAGTTTCATATGTGTGAAACGCTTACAAATTTTGGACTTCCAAAACCTTTCACAATTTGGTTGAAAATCTTTAAGTTCATTTATTTTTATTGTAGCATTAAGGGAAATTTGTCCTGCAGAATCCAACAAGATTCTCGAATCAGTGGGGGATCCGGAAATTTTTATAAGGGGGGTCCACTGAGTGCATAAGAAGGGGCACACTCTAGTCATGCTTCAGTGATTTCTTATACAGTCAACCAATTTTTTCTCTCAAAAGGTTCGCCTCTGGGACCAAGGGCTTTAGAATTAATTTTAATCCTAAATCATAGGTTGAAGATCTCAAAATAAGGTAATGGCATTTCAATTTATTTTTTCTTGACAGTCACTCATCGTGAAAAAACAATAATTCACCACAAGCACCAAGATCTTGACAGTCACTCATCTTAAGAAACAATAATACACCACAAGCACCGAGATCTTGACAGTCACTCATCTTGAGAAACAACAATGCACCACAAGCACCGAGATCTTGACAGTCACTCATCTTGAGATACAATATTGCACCGCAAGCACCGATATCTTGACAGTCAATCATCTTGAGATACAACAATGCCCCACAAGCACCGAGATCTTGACAGTCACTCATCTTGAGATACAATAATGCCCCACAAGCACCGAGATCTTGACTGTCACTCATCTTAAGATACAATAATGCCCCACAAGCACCGAGATCTTGACAGTCACTCATCTTGAGATACAATATTGCAACGCAAGCACCGAGATCTTGACAGTCACTCATCTTGAGATAAAATAAGGCCTCACAAGCACCGAGATCTTGACAGTTTCTCATCCTGAGATACAATAATGCCCCACAAGCACCGAGATCTTTACAGCAACTCATATTGTTCAGTGGCGGATCCCGAAATTTTCATAAGGGTTGGCCCACTGACTGTCCTAAGAAGGGGCCCGCTCCAGTCATGCTTCAATGATTCCCTTTATAATCAACCAAATTTTTCCCATAAAAGGGGGGACCCGCCTATGTTGTTAGTATAAAACCCATAAAACAACGCGTTTCGGCAGATAACACCTTAAGATGCTTTAGCTGTATTTGGCAAAACTTATAGGAATTTTTGGTCCTCAATGCTCTTCAACTTCGTACTTTATTTGACCTTTTTAACATTTTTTGATTCGAGCGTAACTGATGAGTCTTTTGTAGACGAAACGCGCGTCTGGCGCAAATACAAAATTTCAATCCTGGTATCAATGATGAGTTATTTTTATTTCATATAACTCAAAATGAATATTATATATGGATTATTTATTTTATTGATATATTTCATTATATTTTTAAATATTTCATCAATTAATATTTTCAGCATGTTAATTTGCTATACTCAAGCAGTAGTTCAACTTTGAACCTTTGTTTACATTCTTCTTCAAACTGCAATAAATTCAAGTCTTTCCGACGTGATACGTCTTTTTTAAATTTTACGTATACATGCATATGGGTTATGTTTAGATATTAAAACTAAAGGAATACTGTCTTTTTCCTTGAATTTTTTGGGCTGTAATAATTCAGTACGGTCATTTGATCAAGTATCTATTTCGACTTTATCATAACTCAGTATCAAATAAACCACTTTGAAATTGGTCAGATTGTGTATTAATTGTTATGGTCACACGTGTTTCTTATCCGCCGTATTGCTTCACATGATTAGCATGATTAGTAAATCTTCGGAATACATGCTGTGAGTGACATCTATTCTGACGCAGAGAAAATAATTTGTTTGTTTTAAATGTATTTCAAGGTCAAGAATGCCATGCGTTGTAAATCTTTGACTTTTAATTACATCAACATATAAAATATCGAGATTACATAGGTGAACTTCAAAATTGAAGGGGTTATAATGATTTGCCATACTTGCGGGGACAGCGAATAATTACAGCTACAATACTGTTAACATTAAATTATCATATAACTATTATTAAAGCAAACAATGAATGAAAATTATACTTACTTTGCACTGCTTCGAGCAACTGTTAACTTGTTGTGGTAATCATATTGGCGCAAATAAATTCGAAATGTCGGCCTCATACGCATGCGCAAATTAGAAAAAAAAATCTCTTTCACGTAAGTTAATTCATTCGCTCTTATCGTGTAAATTTGAAGATTTATATACACATGCAACAGAATTCCAAATTATTAACATTTATTCCCAATAATTCCTGCAAAGTTGTATATATATATAAAATGATTCAATCTCATCTGGAATGAAATTTCGGTCGACACTTAAAGTCATCAACCTTAAATAAACCTTTTATCAACGTTATAATTTCAACCTATCAAAACATTGAAAGCATTAACTTAAATTCAATGTTAATTCAACGTTGACAGTTCAACGTTGATATTTTTAACCACAAATCAACGTTGATTCAACAACGTGATTTAAACGTTGATAGCATTGACGTTGATACAACGTTGATTTTACGTTGATCAACGCTACAACCAAATTTCAACATATTTTCAACGTTGGTTCAACGTTGTGTGCCTGCTGGGTATATCTTAGAGCTAAAAATAGATATCTAGGTTTAATATTGATTTTTATAGTAAACATGAGTTTGTACTATAAACAATAAATAATGCTTAACAAAGATTTATAATAATCATTTTTGTTATACAGGTATATTTGAACCTTGCCAAAGATGTAGTATTCGATATTTAATGGTTTATATGGAAATGTGCCACTTGCACGATATGTGAGGTAAGCTAAGTGTATTTGTATTCTTGTTTCGCTTAGCTTTAGTTTTTAATATTTGCTTTGCTATATTGTTACTTTTTGTGCTTATTTGCTTTTTGATTTAATCAAGCACGCAGCTTACGTTTTTGTGTAGTTTATGTTACCAACACAAGTAATATTTATAATAGACATTGGCATGAGACAGCATATGAGAACATGTACTATTATATCTAAGTCTAATTGGTATAACTGTAATTGAGACAAGTAATGGCTATTGTATCCACAGTATATATTTTTGTGACTAGATACATAAGTATGCAGCTAAATAAGTTTGAATGATAATGAATTACGAACATTAGTTTTAATTATTACTTAGTAAACAGATTTATCTATCTGTAACTTATAAGTACATTTATATTTTACAGGGCTGTATTTACATATTCATATAGTTACTTCGTTTTCGTCTGAGAAATAAAAGTTACAGAACCCTAGATTGAAGTTAGTTATTTATTACTAAAAGCCTGAGGAAAACCGGCTTTTACACTAGTATTCTTAAACATTATTCAACTGCACATGTATTAACTATTTGATCCAATTTGTAAATAGTTTTTCACCTATAAAAATTGCCACCCTCCTTGTTATATCGCATACTAGTATATACACGTCAACAATATAATTCTTGTGTTTACGTTTTTTCTATAAATTTACTTCATTCTTGGAATTTCAAATTCAATTATTTAAAAGTGTGTTTTTCTCAACAGTTCACAATTGTTGTAAATGGTCCAATTCCAAAAACCTCTTCAAAAATTATGAAAGGTAGAGTTCGTGGTCAAGAAGGTTTGATGACGAGTAAATGCTTTGTTAGTTATGAGTATTTGTGTATGGCACGGACAGAAAGACTATGCCTCCTGATATGCGTGTGTCAAGGGTCCATCAAAAGTATCCTTACCTTAAAATGAAGATACCTGCTAACTTTAGAAAATATTCATGAGAGGAGCACCTGCTTGTTACATGTGAGGCCATTTACTAAGGGTTATACAACTTTTCGCGCTTACTTTGCATGATTTTTATTCTTGTAGAATTAGTGTCATATATTGTATTTCTTCTTTTTTCTTATGACATTGACTGCTAATGAACCTTTCTTTTCTTAAAAATGTCTTCATGTTTATTTAGTAGTACAAATAGATTGCATACAAGATGACCTGGATATCAAAAACCCACATCCATACCCTCAATGGTCCCTCATACAAGATCGTTTTTATGTAGGAATAATCAAACTTTGACAAATACGACACATTTAATTCCATTTATCTGATATTTGAAAAGCCAATGATGTTTTATTATAAATGATTTTTATATACATGTTATAGCAACAACAACAAAAAACCAAAGTTTTTCGACTGCTATAGCACTGTTAGTGTAGAAGTGAATTTGGTAGCCAAATATTTAATACTTTATCAGTTGAATATAAAAAAAATTAAAAAATAACATTTTTTTATCATGAAACGTATGTCAAAGTTTCATAAAATTCCATGAATGTTTGTCAAAGTTATTGATGCCAACAGGTAATGGCTGTCTGAAAAAACCGAGACCATATCATAATGTTAACTGCAAACAAACAAAAAACAAAAAGTACAATTATCAGTTAAAAACGGAAATATTATACATTTAGAATAAAAACAATACATTGCGTTGTTTTTTAAAATTTGCTCTGGTTGCTGTCTTTTTTTGTGCATTAAGAAGCATATATCCAACCATGCCAATGTTCTAAAAAAATATTAAGGTTTCACAATCGATGTCTGAATAACTGAACATTAGACTGTATCTAACTTAACTGAAAAAGGATCAGTAAACTACGGAAAAAATTGATAGATTTTTTCTTTTTATCAGGATAGAGCTTCTGCCCAGTTTACATTATATTCCATAAAGGTTTGGCAAAACTTTAAAAAACAACTATAAAACTAAATGTTGCCGTCACCGAAGACGATGGTAGGTATAAGATCACTGTGTCCTGCTTCTGCCACTTAAGTCTTTCATCACAGGCTAAACAAACACGACAATAATACTGATGTCCAAATAACGGTCCTCTGTAACTAGCAAGCTCGCAAATAATTGACTGACTGCAGTTGCTCCTGTGCGAAGAGGAACTGGTAATACAGGTTGGTGTTGTTTCCCTCAATATTTGTTTGTTACCTCAATAAGTGTCTATCTAATCGATTTGTTTACAAGATTTGAACATCAGCAGGCTACTGTCGTCTTAATTTATTTACAAAGTAAGGGGAACGTAGAGTTAAACTTGAGTAAAATGATCAAAATAATTAGTTAAAAACAATACTAGTGGTTGGTAAATTAGTTCCCAATCTTTTTGTGCCACCTGTCACTTTGCTCATTACAAACCAAAAGATATAAAAATAATGGTGATCTTACAAATGAAGGGATAGTGGACACGACCGTGTCTATGACAAGATGAACATTATTGTGGTTGAATTATGTATGATGAAATCTACGTGAATAGTATCGCAGCTACTGCCATTCCTCTGCAGAAAGCATGACACATTGATTTAAGTTGCATTGCACGAGTAAGATGTGTATGACAGCCTTTAAACTTAGTTTGATTTGAGGATAGGACATCTTTATACTGAATACCACACATGTAACTTGTTTAAAACGATTGTATGACTTAACTTTTGTAATTGATTGATTCAGATTTTGGAGTTCTTTAGAGGTGTAATAACATTTGAATTTATGAAATAGACGCTATATAGGCATTGAGATTCGTAACTAAATAATCAAATTGGAAACTGCAAAATAATGTAAAAAAGATGTTTAAATATGTATTTTGTTTAATTGAAGAAGATTGTCTTGCCGTTTTCAGTTTGTATAAATAAGTAATCGACAAATGCTTGAATATTCATATGCATAATGACCATTTAAGAACTGTTCTATTAATTAATAAAAAGCTTTTTGAAATTTGGTATCAACCTTCACATGAACATGCTATGCTCTGATGCTATGTCTGGTGAGGAGTTATCATTTCACCCACTCATTTAATTCCTGTTTTTCAGAATTTTAATCAGGGATTTCATTAGTCAGCAGAAGTAAAGTTGGTCAGGTTTAATCTTGAAAAAAAAGAAGTTTTATTCATATTTTGAAGTGAAAATAGCGTTCCTTCTTCCAGAGAGTAAAACATACTAACGGGCAATCTTATCTCTTTTGTAATTATCAATATCGCATTGCCGTTAGGTACATAATCTATCCACTCCTTGCAAAGCATTTCATACCGTGGTAAAAGTCAATTAAAAACAAGAGTTTGATTATGATATATTTGTTTTTAATTCAGTTCAAGTTAAATAATATACTAGTACAGAATCTGGCATGAACATATAAATACCATGAAATTATTAATAGGATCTTGAAACAAGCTGTAAACTTATATTAATCCGTTTCCTAATACAAATACTCACATTTGATATGTCTACTATGCAAGACAGGTAGAATGTATTGAATTTAAAAAAAAATGTAAAATAAATGGCACTTAATTTGCATAACAGACACAATTAGTTTTAGATGCAAACATACATTGATGAAACAGCTATTTTCAGGACTTGAACGTGGTATCAACCAAATCTAATATCGGAATTAAGGGATACATAATACGTAACATTTTTTCTTTTAAAACGACATATAGAAAAAAAACAAAGTGCACAAAGTTCCTTGGAGTCATATTGAAAGTCTAACTTATAGAAAGGCCATATACTTTAATAAAAAAAAAACGGGCCACAGATTTTCATGTTGTCATGCAACACATATTTCATGAGAAGACACACATTACAGATTGGTCAAATATTTTACTCTTACAAACTAGCGAGGATTTATTTTTTCACAAATTGCATCGTATATACTAGACCGTTAGTTTTCTTGTTTGAATTGTTTTATATTTGTAATTTCGGGCCCATTTATAGCTGACTTTACGATATGAGTTTTCCTCATTGTTGAAGGCCATACGGTAATTTATAATTGCTTTTATCTTAATGGACTGTTGATAAAAATACTTTCTTATTTACAGACATTTTGAATTTTATTAGAACGTGCTTTTTGATCTTATTGAATTTGTCTTTCTTCCTTATGAATTTATACAGTTTAGTATGTCATTGGATAAGCATCGTAACTTAGGACTGCTATTTATTTGGGATACTGTGTACTTTTTACTATTGTTCAAATTTATAACTGTTTAATGTTGTTGTTGCATGTCATTATATTTATGAATCATGAATTATTATGATAAGAAGAGACTATCTAAGTTGTTATTTGTATTAGCACCTACTTACAACTTCTCGTCCAATCATATTGCTTGAATTTGCCTTCTAATTTTCATAGTACATACTTTTCCGTGTACTAAGTAACTACACATGAATGACCACAAGGGTAAGATTTCATTGTATCGTAATCAAGATATGAAAACAAAAATTGCCACTGGCTATTTTGAAATAAAATACTGTGTTCCAAATTAAATTAAATAGTTTGTAATTAGTTTTCACATTAATTTTTAAATATCCTGCTATTAAAATCTTTGGATCTAAAAAATGTTTTTGACAATTGCAAGTTTTTTCTTCTTCATTTAAATAAAGAGTAACACATATGGTTCTTTTATACCTTGATTAAAGTACAGCGCTATCTTAAAATTGTAATAATTTATCGTCCATGCAATTACTTTGTACACAAAAAAAAGTGTGTACTACGATTTATTGTGAAGGGAAATTAAGGCAACCTGGTGATTTTATTAACTTCTTTGGGAAATTGATCTATTTCGTCATGAATTGATTGATTATTGGTTGCTTAATGTCCAGTGGCAAATATTTCATGCATGTCTTGAATTGAAAAACCATGATAATGTCTGAAGAGAATGTGCCACCTATATATATATATATACATATATACATATTCTGATAAATCTTTTAGTTTTTACTTTGAAAATAAACAAACAAAAAAACACAAAACCTATAATCTCTGATCTATTGGTAGTTGCTTTTTAATGCTATTCGCTAGACTATCTATGGGGACAAACTATCTATATCTTTCAAATAATTTCAATTTATTATAGCTTTAGTTTTACTGTGAAATTGAAAAGTGTTTTCAAAACATGTAAAGCTTCCGCTGCAATTTAATTATTGTCTGCTTTTGGTCAATTCATTTTGTCATCTTACCATGTAAAGAAGTATATGTATAGTAAAATACCGCTTTATATCAATATACATACTTACACCAGCAGCTATCATCTTTTCATTCTAGGGCCTTTTGAAATCACATATTTTACAATGATACTAGTGAGTAGATTTACAAAACATAAAATTCGTTAATGAGCTCTGTTTTACAAACATCTGTGATACAAGTAGTCAGCCAAAATAAACTATCAATAGAGCAATTAAAAGATTACTCGAGTTGTAAATATGTGCTAAATTGGATAGTCTATGAAAAGGTATATACTATGAAATTAAGAGCTCGGGGCAAGCCCCTCGCTCTAAATTTCATAGTATATACCTTTCCATAGACTAACCTAGACTTAGCAAATGAAACATGTTCAAATGAAATATAATGAACGTGAGGATTTATCTTTTTTTTTTAAATTAAACTGAATTCGACATCAATGTGATTGTTTGATAATTAATTTTTCCATAGATCAGGATTATTATTAATCAACCACTGAGCACGTGCAATTACATCGTTACTGTAATCATGATTGGTTGTATTTAAATCTACATTTTTCCATGTCTGTACATTTGATACTCCAAAATTATAGGCTGCTACTCCACCTGAAAGAAACAAATGGTAATAAAAGGTTTGTTGTAAGCGGAAATAAAAAACATTCACGATGTTATAAGCTGTATTTTCAACGAAAAAGAAGAAATTATGTGTCGTTTGTATATGTAAGTGGCAATAAGTGAATTCAAATATCAATATATTTTCATATAACACAATTTTAATTCTTCAAATTTAAATTTATTTCCGTATCCAAAACAGAAAATACGAATTTTTGTAGTAATACAAAAATAATATCAAAATTTGGCCGTATAATGACGTTCTTCTTTCGCTTTGGAAACAAAGCCATGTTCTAATTCCATATTATTTATCATCTTAGTTATGTGTTATAGTGTTCTTTTATATGTCTTTGTTAATTATTACTTTTACTGTTTAGTCTATTTTTGGTAATATCCATTTGAGGTGGCTCGGTACTTACACATCCCATCATTTTGTTATTTTGCTATGGTAAATTTTGGCATTCTTGGTTTTCGTTTTTGCTAATGTGCTTTGTCTATATGCGTTTTTGTATTTTGTTGTTTACATATTTTTTTGTTTTATAGGGATTAAGAAATATAACAAAATGTTGACGGCTGTACCCCTATTTTTGACATTTTTACATATTATGTCTGTTTGTTTTGTTCACACATTGTTGTGAACATAATGGAATTTTATGCGACTGTCATTCAAGTGAGAGGTTTAACTAGCTATAAAACCAGGTTTAATCCACCATTTTCTACATAAGAAAATCCCTGTACCAAGATGTAGAAAATCCCTGTACCAAGTCAGGAATATGACAGTTATTATCCATTCGTTTGTTGTGTTTGAGCTTTTGATTTTGCCATTTGATTAGGGATTTTCCGTTTTGAATTTTCCTTGGAGTTCGATATTTTTGTTATTTTAATTTTTTCCAATAAAACATTGGCTGCACGTGATTGACGTCACAATTGAAGTTGCAACGTCTATTGTATTTTGAAGAATGCTTGAGATCAAAATGGACATTTGTGTTGGTGGTGCTCTAGGAGATGAAATAAAAACATTCTAAAAGTAAGTTTTCATGTATCTTTTATGTTTTTGCATGAAATCAAAATGGCTGCCTTTCGAGCGTGTAAAATAAGTCCGCTTCGAAGTACAAAAGTTCTATTTTTTCCTATTGGAATCAAAATAAATCTATCATGCCATGCTCTATGTTCATTTAAGGTAAAACATTTGCTCAATAATTTGACTGCATCATTAATTGTTGAAAATAAAAAACAAAAAAGACAGTAGACGAAATTAGGTTCGGAATAAATAACATTTCAACTAGTGATTGTATATAATGGAAAATGTGAAATACCCCCATCCTATCTTGTCTTTTTCACTTCTTAATCTGGATTATTAGCATTTAAGTGACGGGGGACAAATGTATTGATTCTTTGCCGTCTAAATTTGAATAAGGTGGGAAAAAGCTGCATATTCCAAAGACAGAAGTACAACACCCTTTTGGCAAATATTAATCTTTCAGAATTCGTAAAAAAGAACTATAGAATATAACTATTTTTACAACACTATGTATGTAAAGAGATACACCGGGAACTCACAAGTCTGTAGTAAATGTGACAAACCCGTTCAAGTTACATGTGGAACTACAGCTAGTGCAGAAGGGTACTATTCGAAGGTGTTATATCAAAATTGTTCGAATGATGTCAATAGAGTTCGCAATCTTTCTGGGGTTACAGACAGTCAACTGAAACAAGCACACAAAATGATAGCCAGGAGCAAAAAATATTAAAAATATGACACAAAAACAGTACAAAATCACCCAATGCGATATGCATAGTTCACTAAAAATAATCGACAATTTTAAAATTATTCCAACAAAAATATTTAAATAACAATACTCAAACTGCCCTAATAAAAGTTTCGCAAATGCAATGTAGGTACACGATTTAGACAACTTCTAGTCACATTTCACAGGAAATAAATAATTTTGAAACAAATTAAATGTTCATATGGCAGCAACTCAGCAGTTACTGTCCAGCGGTCAAGGATTTTTTCAAATGAGCATGTTTATCTACATGTTTAAATAACTGGTGCAAATTAAAAAAAAACCATGGGAATCTGTGCAATAGTCGATACCACAGCTTCGGCCTGTGGCAACAATTAATTTAAACACAACTTTCTATCAATTTAACATATATGTAACAATATTTTGCAATGAGTTTTGATATCGGTCACATATTTTAGTAATGATTTCATTTCAGGTAATTGACATTTTAAAAAACCTGACCAATTCATACAGGAAAGAATCCTGCTTGACACTATGCCTACGCGGGTAACTCTTTCTTCTAGCATCTGCTCAATGTAGAGATCGAGGTGGCCGTGTTCGACACCTTATAATTCTGGAGAGAATATTCTCTTTTGCACACAGTCCAACATATTTACAGGAACTAACAATAAACAAAAATCAAAGTTAGAGAAATGAGTATAGTTATATCCAAGAAATACCAAATAAAAACACTTATGATATCAGATCAAAGTCAAATAAGTTATTTTACACAATGTAACAAACTATTGCGTAGTGTGTACGTTTTTCAATTTTCATTTTTTCTCACAGATTTGAATTCAATGGAAGATGTGCATACCTGCACATCATAAAAGTGCAAAGTCTATGTTCTTTAACAGACATGGTAACTTTCCATCCCGTGTTTTTCAAATATAATATGTCATTTATATAATGATGATTTCTTTGAAATGTTTTAAATACACTTCACATTAGGTAAAATAACAAAATACAATGTATAAGATTTTGTGGCCTTCCGCTAAGAATATTTTGTCACGACGATACACATGTCGGTGTGCTCGATCATACACATGTACCGACATTTATAGACAAAATGACTGTAAAAAAATTCTTGTGGCGAAACTACATTTTGGAACACGTTAAAAGAGAGACGAAAGATACCAGAGGGACATTCAAACTCATATGTCGAAAACAAAACCAGGCTAAAAAAAAAAAGAAAAAAAGACAAACAATAGTACACTAAACACAACATTGAAAACTAAAGACAGAGCAACACGAATCCCACCAAAAACTGGGTGTGATCTCATGTGCTCTTTAAAAATTGGATCCTCATTAAGCTACATTATTAAGGCTTGGTATATATTTTAAAAAAAATATGGAGTCAAGATTGGCAGTTTTTAAGGTTCATCTAAAGGAATTGAAAAATATGGTCGTGTTTACACCACACAATCTACTATAAGTACAGATAACCTGATGTATCTAGGAAAGTTTTAAGGCACGACAGGACCTAGATATAATAAAAGTTATATGTAGTCTATGTTTTAGAAAATTAAAAACTTACCTGGATTTTGATGTGCATTTTTTTTTCTAGTCTGCAGAAGATAGCAAATAAACAAACACATGAGTTTTATTTGATACGGTCTACTCAGTTACACAGTTTAAATTACCCATTGTTTGCAGACGTCTATTGTCCATCTATTGTCCATTTAAATCAATACTGCTCACAACATTATTTATATGAAGGAAGCTTCTCAAACCGCTTTCCCAACTTAATAGAAAAACAAAGGATATGGGGTATCTATCCATGACACAAAATCAGTACATGCACAACAAAAAAACACACACAAAGCAAAGGAACAGCGCTTTTATTGCTGTTCTTCATCTCAAAGTCACAGTGAGGCCTTCAACACGGACAAAAAAAAACTCTCATCTCACTGCAAGTTTAAGACGGCCCCTAGCACCGGCTTAGTTTATTTTAGCAACTTCTGCAGGAATGGACAAAAAACGAATAGCAAAATCCAAAAAAGTTTTTAATTTTCTGAAACAGAAAATGCATTAAAAATTTAATCATCTAGTTCCTGCCATGCCTTAAAAGTTTTTCAGGTGCACAGATTTGTCTTTACTCAGAGGAAACTTTGTGGTGTAAATACGGCCATATTAGCAAAAGGGTTATGGTAAACCTTAAGACACCCTATGTTGAGCAATAAATTGTTCTATTAACAGCATATTTGGCAACTAAAAAATCATATATCAATAAATTCAGCTTTAAAAATACTTTAATTATAGTGGTTGTATAAAAGTTATTTCATGGTTTTGTGTTTTAAAAGATATCCCTATGCATATCGAGTTTAATGTGTTTATTTTTTTTTACCTTTTCTATCTTTCATAAGAAGAGTCATTTTTTGTCTCGCCTTGACGGAGTCAAAAAGCGAGACATAGGTATGCTGTTTCCGGCGTCAGCGTTGGCGGCTAAGTGGTAGGTCAATGATATTTGGTGTGCAGTTGTATAAGCATTGGTACATCTCATTTCCATGGAGATTATTTGGCCCTGCCCCCTCAGTCATTGTCTATTGACTTTGAAACATTTGCTTAGTTTACATGTATGAGTTTGTGATTAGGTCAGTTTATGGGGAACCACAAGGTTTAGGTCTAGGATATTTGGTATGCAGTTGTATAAGCATTGGCATATCTCATTTCCATGGAGAATATTTGGCTCCGCCCCCTCAGTCATGGTCTATCAACTTTGAAACTTTTGCTTAGTTTACATGTATTAGTTTGTGATTAGCTCAGTTTAAGATGAACTGCTTATGTTAAGTCATTAATATTTGGTATGCAAATTTATTGGCATTTGCAAGTATCTTTTCCATGGAGATTATATAACCCCATCCCCTCATCATGGTTCATTGAAAAGTTAATGTTTGTGTAGCTATAGGTTTGTTTAAAGGTGACGACTTATAATTAGTCAATGATATTTGGTATGCAGTTTAATTAGCATTGGCACATCTCATTTCTATATAGTTTGTTAGACCATGTACCTTTATTCATGGTTCATCGACTTTGAATATTTGCATAACTTACATGTTAAAGTATTGTTATTTTAATTTCAACATTTGCATAATCAAAATTACAAAAAGGCGATACATATCTGTTTGATAACAGTTTATGTTCTTGTGTCACTGGAAATCCCACTGAAAAAGTTGGGACTGAAATGGGTTCCAGTACCTTCAAATT